CATTGGGGGGAAGTGAAGGCAGGGGGGAGTGAGTTTGTGCTATTAGGTGGGGGAGGGGTAGATAATTTGTGCTTTAGTTGGGAGTTAGGACAGGACAGACCGCTGGTGCCTGCTAGTTTGAAAAGCAAGATTTTATCCCAGCCCCCACCTGGGATGGAGGGAGCAGATTGCACAGGAGTAGGTAGAGAAAAGGAGGTTGGTACTGAATCTGTACAGTGAGGTGCAGGCAGTCCTCTCTGTCTGTCTGGGTTGGTAGGGGAAGAATGAGGATTCTTGGGGGGAGGGGTGTGCCAGGACATTTGCATGATTACATTTCAAACAAAGTTTACATAGGTGTTAATGGCTTAAGGTAAGAAAGAAAAAGATTCTTTTAACCAAATTTTTTTGGAGAATTACAGATATCTAAAAGTCTGATCTTAATGTTTTGGGTTTTTTTTTAATCTTATGTTTATAATTAATACTGGTATACTGTATTGCATTAAGGCCAGATCTTTGCTATGTGGTAGAGTTCTGGCTCTTGTGAGTCAGAAGTAGAAAGTTTCTAGGTGTGATGCTAGTTATGTAGGATAAAACCTTATTTGCAAGCTCTTTGAAACATGCATCTGCCTACAAACCCTGAAGCCAGGTGTTAATTTGTTCTGGGACTTCTACTCTTTTGAGTTTTGTTAAGTCTCTAAAGTGCTGCAGGACCATTCGTTGTTTTTTTAGTTAGGCTCTCTCTAGACTGCACTGTTAAATCGGAAAAAGATACATAACTTGCTGTATGCAAATTGTGTATCTTTTTTCGATATACTTTCAAAAAAGGCTTTATGATGTCTACATGACACCAAATTGTGAAATAAAGGCTCTTTAAAGCCATCCCTTATTCCTCGTAGAACAAGATTTACAGGGATGGTGAAAGAGTGCATCCGTTCTTTCGAAAAAAATTCGAGAAAGCAGCCACGTTCCTTGGACACGGCATTGCTTTTTCGGGGTACTTTTGGTATTCCAAAAAAGCAATGCAGTCTAGATGTAGCCTTACAGACTAACAGAGTCTTTGAGTTGGTGACACACAAGGTGAAAGTTTCAAGCCAGGAGAACTTTTATCTGTTTTTACAGCATGGACCCTAAACATTCCCCAGAGAAACTACATAAGCCTTAAGGCTTAGAGAATGCCTTTTACTCTCCTTTCCAGTGTGAGTAAATATTGTATTTTAGTCATGTTCTCCTTGCAAATACTATTTCTAGTTGACTCAGATTTGTTTAGCATCTTAAAGCTGAGTTATATGTGGATAATGTGTGTTTTGGTGCATTTACTAGCTTGAGTTGTTAGAAAGAATGATGATACGTGTACTCCAAGGGTAGTGTTAATTTTCTTTTTATTTGATTTCATATTAAATATCATAAGCATTGCTCCTTGTTAACTATCACTTATTTTAATATATTTTCTTCCACACATATGGACTGCTTAAAAGATCTTAAAAAAGTGTGTGTGTGTGTGTTTTGTTTGTATTGGTGGTGCACATCCATACACTAACTCCATATTGGTGTTGTACATAAGAAATTTCAATCCGCCTAAAAGACAATTCAACCTGCCTAAGAATAGAAATGTTAGAGGTAATACTGCTGGTAACCTATACTTTTTGAAGCTCTCTCTCCCTTTAAGGCTGTGTTCTTGAAGGCTGAATATTCAAGCTGCATCTCATACTGTCTGGAGAGTGGCTGGCCCCTGAAGAGGGAAGCCTACCTCTAGTTTGTGTTGATTTTTCCACCACAGCAAAGATCACCTGAATATTCCAGTTGGTTTCCTAATTATACTCCTGTGATAGCTAGTTGAAGTGAATATACAGATTGTATCTCCCTGGTCTGGCACCCTCAAGACCTGAGTGGTCCTGAACTGGGAAATTTGCAGGACCAGGGAAGGACAATGCATTGGGGGCTCCATTTTTCCCCAGGTAGCTCCACTGTTACCCAAGGCTCTGGTCTCCCCACAGTGCAGGGGAACATCTACTTTCTCCCTGCCCCACGGCTTCACTGCGGCCCAGAGCTCCGCTCTACCCGCAGTAGTTTCGCTGCTGCCCAGGGTTTTGTCCTCCCGCTGGTGGCTCTGCTTTCTCCCCAGTGACTCGGCTACTGCCTGGCCTCTCCACACTCCCCTTTGCACCTTGCTGCCACCTGGGGCTTCGTGCTGCATCAAGCAGCTTTGCTGCTGCCTGGTGGGCTCCATCCCCCACCCTCACCCCAGCAGCCTCGCTGCCACCCACGGAGCTCCATGCTTCACTGAGTGGCTCTGCTGCCACTTGGGGGGCTCCGTGCTCCTCCTGGCAGCTCTGTGCTCCCCTGCCCAGCACTCACACTATGGCCCAGGGGGCTCTGCACTCCCCTCCAGCAGGCCCCACTCCCTCCCAGAAACTGGGGGCTCTGCATTCGTCCTGGTGACACTGCTGGCCTGGGACTCCATCTCGGCCCCCCTAGCCTAGCAATGCTCCTGGTCCCAGGCTCTATAGTTTATTCCTGTGAGCACTCGCTAAGACAATGTTGGACCAGGGAAGTCTGGATTAGGGAGTTTCGACCAGTACAACATACTTAATGCATCGGTGCAAGAGGGATAATTATGGCCTTTTCCCCTCTCAATTTTAACCTTCTCTGGGCATTTCAAGCTGCTAGAAACAGTCTCATGAGAAGCGCATGGCGACATTTCTACATATTGCTCACAGTGTGGTAGAACAAACTGGAAAAGCAGAGAAAGAGCTGGAGAGTATGAAAATCCTAGTCTGTGACAGGTCATCACTGTGCCTGCCAACACACTAGAAAGAACCAGCATATAGCCTGTGCTGTAGCAGACCAAACCATGGAAAAATTATATGTATTTTAAAAATATATATATAAAATGTCAAAGTTCACAGAAGTTTGGGGGAAGTATTTAAATCATGTAGGGTTAATGACAGATGTCATTCACTGATTGACAAGGATTCCAAGATAATACACTATACATGGTGGGAACGGACACATAACACACTCATGAAGGGCAGCAAAGTATCAATTTTCCTTCTGCTCTCATCAACACCCTATTATTATTATGCACTGATTTTTAGATGACAAACACTATTACTTTGAGAGTCTAGAAAATAAGTAGTAAACTCAAGTAGTACTTTGTTCAGTTCTGGACTGCTATTTAACTACTTTCCAATTATTAAGAATATACAAGTCTGCTTTAGTGAGGAAAGAGGAAAAAATATGGAACCTTGCCTCTGCTAAAAATACTAGCCAAGATCCTGGATGGTTCCTTTTTCTGATTTTGTATGTTCACTTCCAATTCCATTTCTGTTTGAGAAATTTTGTCGCCTATCCTCTCCCCCCAAACTTCTTTCTTACCATACTTCAAAGGGAACATTTCATTGTGTGCTTATTTAGCACCCCCTTCACCAAGAGCACATAACTTCTGTTGAAATCTGTTTAATTACTCTTCTAGACTGCCAGACAAAATGTGAGGGGCAAGTGGAGATCTGTACAAAACTTAATTGTTAAGGGAAAGCAGCTGCCTCCTATGCATCCTATAACACCTATGAGTTACTATGGAAGATGTGAGAAGCAAGCAAGGAATGCTGCTGTGAAGTTGCATTCCCACATGCCCCTTCTGTACCTGGATCACTGAAGAAAATATGAGCTTTTACAGATATTTTTCAAAAAATATCCTCCTCACCTCTTTGGGAGTTTTATGGGCTGCACAAAGAAAAATCCATTGTTCAGTTGCTGTCATTTGAGTGCATGTATCTGGGTGGCATTCACTCTGTTGAAACAATTGTTCAGTTAATAAAATACCAAGCAGAGAAAGCAAAATTTAATCATTTTTAATAATTTAACTGTAAACTGCTTAAAATAAGAAAAATATTTTAAAGCTACTTGATCAACTAAAGTCTTCTAGAATCCTAAAGCTATGTTCCTACATCATGATGGCAAAAAATGTGAATTAAAAAGACTTTGATGCTTTGTGAGCTACTATTATGTCTACAAATATAAAAACAACCTGCTCTGACACAAAAATTAGAGGACAAGAAAAGAATTACCTGAAGTTTGACAGCAAGTCCATTGAGCTCAAGACAGAATTGTCTAGAAATTTAAATGCAGTATTGTCAGAACAGTTTTCCCAAACAAAACATTTTTTCATAAACAACTTTTCATAAACTCTAAGGCTATGTTTACACTGGCGGGTTGTTGTGCCAGAAGTATGCAAATGAGGCTAAGCCTGGAATATCGCTGAGCCTCATTTGCATATCTAATGAGGTGCCATTTTTGCAGAAGAGGCTCTTGCGCCAGAAGGGGCTGTCTATGCTGCCCCTTCTTGCGCAAGAAAAACCCTCTTGCACAATGCCGTTACGCTGATTATTTTCAGGAATAACAGCATTGCGCAAGAGGGTTTTTCTTGCACAAGAAGGGGCAGTGTAGATGCTCCTTCTGGCGCACGAGCCTCTTCTGCAAAAATGGCGGCTCAGATATGCAAATGAGGCTCAGCAATATTCCACGCTTAGCCTCATTTGCATACTTCTGGCGCAAGATCGCACCAGTGTAGACATAGCCTAATGATTTTATGAATCTCAAGCATTTTTAACAATTACATTGGTTTCTTTGCAGGTGCAGAAAGCAGAAAACAAATGAGATCACATGCAAAAAAACGGTTCAAAATAATTTTAGCAGCTACAACATATTTGGAATCTTTGGATATATCTGTAGAATATACTAGGAACAAAAGAACAAATAAGGGGAGACTAAGGTGACAGGAATACTAAAAGAAAAATAAGAAAAATTAATTTATTATTGATTCAAAAGGAACTCATAACTATTTTCTCTCTCATTTGTCAAAAAGGATAAACTGAACAGCATCCTGGAGCAGAGACTAGAAATATAATATTTTCTTCCTTAGGAAAATCTACATTATACAAACTTGCTTAGGATAGCAATTCATGTTTAAGAAAAAAAAAGTTAAATCCCTTATACATGCATTGAAGAAAAACACATCATAAGGTGCAAATTGATCAAACTCATCTCTGCTATGTACCAGTGGTGGGAAACCTTTTTCCTATCAGGGGCCACTCACCTCCAGAAAAAAAAATCAGTCCCAGAACACACACAGGCCAATGAGGGGACTTGGGGCTTCCACTAGACTCTAGCCTGGGGCCAAAATGGAGGGGTTCAGAGGGAGCTCCAGGCTGGAGCAGAGGGATGTGGTGCAGGAGGAGGTGAGGGCTCCAGCTGGAGATGCCGGCTCTAGTGTGGAGCTGGAAATAAGGGGTTTGGAGTACATGAGTGGGCTCAGAGCAGGGGTTTGGGTAGGGATGTGGGGTCTGGGTGGGAGTTAAGGTGGAGTGGACTCAGTGCTAAAGCACAGGGTTGTGGTGTAGAAGGGGGTTTGGGCTCTGGGGTGGGGCACAGGATGATGGGATTGGAATGCAGGAAGGGGCTCAGAGCTGGGTGTGCAGACTCTGGGAGGAAGTCTGGGTATGAGAGGGGGTTCAGGACTGGAGTGAGAGGGGACTCAGGACTGCAGGAAGGAAATGCAGGGCGCTTACCTCAGGCAGCTCCCTGTTGGTGGTGCAACAGGGCTAATGCAGGCTCCCTGCATGCTCTGGCCCCGTGCCACTCCTAGAAGCTGCCAGCGTGTCCCTGTAGCACCTGGGGGAAGGGGGAGTGGCTCTGCATGCTGCACTCATCAGAAAGCCCCACCCCTGCAGCTCCCACTAGCCACAATTCCTGGCCAAAAGGAGCAATGGGGGCAGTAACAGCAGGTGAGGACAGCACACGTAGCTTTCCTGATTGCCATAGACCAGTGCTCGCAGCTCCAGCCCAGCACAACGGAACCAAGACGCAGGGCTTCCGGCCCACAGTATGTGGAGACTTTCCACAGGTAGGGATGTAAAATCACAATTTAAAATAAGACAAAAACAAGTTTTTAAAATCAATAGGAGTTTAAGGGAATCCTCAGAACAATGAATTTGGGACTTGGTAATTTGAAAAGGTGCAAATAAATTCAATTTTTAAGATTTCAAAACTATTACTATAAAACTGTTTAACACAAAAAACCTACAAAAGAAAAATTGCTCTAAGTCATCAACAAAGATACTCTGAATCTCATAGATAATAAGTATTAAGATTCATTATTACAATTAATCTGGGAAGTGGGTTGCACAATTCTACATTTTGAGAAAGCATGAATTCTTACCGTAAATGTTCATACTTCCATACACCTTCATCCTGGCCTTCAGGAGGTTCCAGGATTTTGTCAATGTTAGAACAGTCTGCCCTTATGTTTTGCTGGATATACTAGGAAGAAAAAGGATTAATCTGAAAGTTTTTTAAAGATACTCAGGCAACATATTTACAATTGCTCCACAACTTTAGTTACCTTTGATCTCTTACATTCCAAAAAGAAGGAAGTAAATGCAAGTTTCACATATTCCTCCTAGCCACTATAGTAAAGATAGCAGCTATTTCTTCCTTTAATCTAGCTGGAAATGAGAAACTATGTTGATGAACCACAGTAAGATTACAAAAAAAGTAGTAACAGGTGGAGAGGGAAGAAAGCTGATGTCCCAAAAAAACAAAAAAAAAACAGTGAGAGAAAAATATGTCTTCCCTGAAAGAGATGTAGTAAGAGGAGCAGTGAGTTTTACCAGACAGCAATAAAGCCTGTTCAACTGGTTAAACTGGACCCCAGGATTCATGTGATTTCTACACACAAAATTACTGTATTAACCAGAACACACTGATGTCTATATCTGTATGGTTATTTTTGTAGAACTATATCACAATCAGGAAGAGAATGTGCCCTGTTCTTACATCCTGCCAAAAATCATAAGATGTGTGTGACTAAACTTTCCCATGTGAAAAATATATTTATTAGTACAAAAAATACCTGTTGAACAGCTAATGTGCTATCCATTTCTTCAAAGGATTCATCGGGCCAGTTGTAAAAATCCTATGGGAAAAAAATTTCAATTTTAAACACATTTCATAAATGGTGGTGGGTAGAAAGCATAGTATCTGCAGCAAATTCTGAATGCTCAATATCAGGAAACTTCAACCTGCTGTAGGAAAATAAGCTATGCAGTTTCAAATAAACAGAAAATGACAACTAGAAAGAGCGGAAGCAGACAAAGTTGCAAAGGACTTGGTGGGCTTGATGCTTACCCTCTCAAAACCAAACTATGAAATTTACAATAGAGGACTTACCACCTATCTTTCATCTCTTACATTTAAAGCTAAACCTTTGCTTGACTTACTGTGCCGTCAATTTGTAAATGTCATCTCTTCCACTCCTTTTTACATGCTATGAAGAGCCAGAACTGGTTAATACTTACAGACACCCCCCCCCCAAAAAAAAAAAAAAGGTTCAGTGTTCTGAAGGAAGTGGCATTAATGAATTCACATTATCAGCAAGAGAAATGAGGTTCTTCTAGCAACACCTTTTGGTTTGCAAGAGGGGGGGTTGGCCTCACTCAACCAAGACATTGACCTGTTGTTAGCTCATAGCTTGCCTGATTTTTTTTCCTCTTTGGCTCATTTTTCTCTCAGCCTATTTTGCTAGCGTGATGAGATGCCATTTACACGCTGTCAAATGTCTCCTCGGCGGCGGCGGCCTGTCAGCGGCCGGGGAAGCAGCTGGCCCACAGGAGGAGGAGGAGACAGCGCCTCAGAAGGGTGGCCATTAGCCTGGACAACAGGCGCCCCGCGGCACCTCGGGGCACGAGGCGGGTGGGGAAAACCCGCTTCCCCGGACGAGG